GGCGGAGACCAAGATCATCTACCACATGGACGAGGAGGAGACGCCGTACCTGGTCAAGCTGCCTGTGGCCCCCGAACGTGTCACGCTGGCAGACTTCAAGAACGTGCTCAGCAACCGGCCTGTGCACGCCTACAAATTCTTTTTCAAGTCCATGGATCAGGACTTCGGGTCAGTGGGCGCGCGGAGCCGTACAGGGCTGGGGCGGTCCTTTCGAACATTGGTGCTGTGGAGGGCCTGGGCCTGGGTGCCGCCAGTGGGCGTGCACAAGTGTCTGCGCACCTGTCTGTGCCAGCAGGGCCTTGGATGTCCTGGGCCAGTGAGGGTGCCCCACAGTCGCCTGGGAGTGCGGCCCTGCCTCCAGGTCGCCTGGATCTATGTGTTCACCCCAGTGGGCCTTGTGGGCACTCATCGTGGCATGTGGATCCACCTGTTTGGCTCTGGGGTGCCCCATGGGCCGTGACTACCAGGCTAGGGGCCTGAGCTCTGGATGAGGGTTTGCAAGGGTACTGGCCTCTCCACTTGGGGGGCCTGGGCCTTTTGTGCCCCGTTTAAGTGCTTAGGGCGACCCAGAAAGCTGTCTTTCCCCAGAGTCCCCTCTTGACACCTGTTGGGGCTCAGGGTCTGCACTCTGGCTGTCTTATGGAGGGTGGGTACTCAGAGGCACACCTGAGCAGGGACAGGCTATCTGGAGGGTTGGCCAGGGGTGTGTGGTTCATGGGCCTGGGACAGGAGGAGGGGTGGGGTAGAAGGAAGTAGAGGTGGAGTCAGGGCCCAACCACCCTGTGGATCTTCTGGGGGGGGATGGGGGAGTGTGCTGGGGCAGGGCAGAGATCTGTCTGCTTGAGTCTGCGTAAGTTTCTGGTAGTTCAAGATAGCTCCCCTGGCCCCTTCTCCAAGACCTGAAGCCGGCAGTGGCCAAGGGGTGGCTGGGACATGGATGGCCACTCACCCACTCTTGCCTGGGGTTCCTGGCCGGGGGCCTGTGTCTGGCTTGGCCACACAGCCTTGTATTCCCTGAGCAGCCAGGCCATCTGCTGACTCTCAACCTCTGGGGCCGTACCTAGGTGGTAGCTGTCCCAGGCCAGGGGACTTCCCGCTTGCACTGATCTGGGCCTCTGGGACTGTGCCGGCACAGCCTAGGGTAACCCGAGTCAGAGGCCCTGTTAGCTGAGCAGGTGTGCCCTGGCTGCCCGAGGGCCAGTCCAAGTCCTTGTGCACAGCGACCTCCCGGGACTTTGACATTGAAGCCATTTCCTGGATCTCTGGTGGCACAGTGGGTAAGGCATTTGCCTCGTAACCAGAAGGTTAGTGGTTCAAACCTGCCACCACTCCATAGAAGGAAGATGAGACAATCTACTTCCATAAAGATTTACAGCCTTGGAAACCCAATAAGGGTCGTTACGAGTTGGAATAGACTTGATGGCAGTAGGTTTAGTTGTTTGTTTGTTTGGTTGGTTAATTTGCATGTGTCCTGGACAGGCCAAGCTCAGGCCATTATGTGGCTCTCAGTGGGGCCTGAGGGATGTGAGGACACCCACCTGGACACTGCTCCATCTCTCTATTCTTCTACCCTCCCAACCCCTACCCCTGGCACAGGGAGAAGTTTGTCCTTGGCAGCCCCTGAAGGCTGGGCACAGCCAAGCCCTGCCTATTGGCTTTCCTGCCTGCTCAGGTTAGGAGCTGTGTCTGGGGCAGGGGCTCCATGAGACAGGGACTGCCCACCACACCTCTGCGTGCTGGGTGACCTCAGGCTCAACCTCTCTGGGCCTGGGTTTCTTTGACTGAGGTTTGAGTAAGTTTTTGTTTTTCACTTTTTATTTTTGTAAATGATTATTCTAACAAGAATCTAACAAGAATCCCCAAAGTCACACTGCTCTTTGTTACATATTCAAGCTACTGAGGAGACAGTGGCATGAATTGAGTGTAGCCCCCAGGTTGCCACCCTTGAGCTTTCTCTGAGGTGTGCCCTGAAAGGGCCTTGTCGGCACCACTGTGCCCCTCCAGGATGCAGAGACCCTGACCTCCAGGGTCAGGAGATAGCCAGTCCGTCTCGCCCAGTGCCCACCCATTGGGGAGATTGAAGGGCCTTGAGTGCCCTAACCCAGGAGGTGGGGTAGGGTGGATCTAGGTCTTGAAGCAGGTGTTCTTAGGTTGGCTTGTGTGAGAACAGCTTGGGAATGGCTGGGGTGTGGGGGAGGGAAGAGAGCACACCTTGCCTGACGAGAGCTGTGGTGGATACAAGGGTGGGGGTGGGGAGCTCAGACATGAGGGTGTCCTCAGACTGCCAGGAGGAGGACTGGGAGTCAAGGAGGGCAACTGTAGGGTCCAGGCCAGGGTATAGGGCCTGGGCTGAGATGAGAGGATGGGGAAGGGACTGACAGGGCAGGACTCACCTTCTTCACTCTCTGGACTGCTGGTTGGTAGCCTCAGGAACCCAAGGGAACCTCCTTCCCCCATCTGCTTTCTTCTTCTTCTCTCCTAATGTTCCACTTGCAGACCAAACTCAAGTTTATTCTATAGGATAATTTATTCAATAGAATATATTTCTATTAAGGTGGAGCTGCAATACTCACACTTCAGTACAAATGACAACTTGAGACTCACCCTGACTACTAAGTAGACATAGCTGTGGGTTGGGAGAAGGAAGGACAGGTATTGGCCAGGCTGGCACAGTGACCCCCTACTGCCATGAGAGGTGTGGTTTCAGCTTGAGGCTGATTCTAGCCTGTGAGCAACAAAGGGCTGGACCCTACTCCCCAAGTATGTCATTGGCTCCTTGGATGCAGGACTCTGCCCTTGTCCCAGCTAGATGGCCTGCACTTTTCCACATGCAATTCCCCACTGTTCTGAACCAAGGCCCCAAAGGGCTAGGCAGGGAGTAGGGGGCATAGATAAGGCTGAAGAGGGGGCTCTGGGCCTATGGCAGCTGGCCTAGTGGTTCTAAGCCAACTCTCAGGTTTTGTGAGTGGCAGGTCCAGGGAAGGTGTTGGCTGTAAGGCCAAGGAGTCCCCTATCACAAGAGAGTGACAGGTTGGTTGGACTTGACACGAGCCTCATCTGCTGAGTGGCCCCAGCTCCTCTGTCTTGGAGGGAGGCTGACCGAGGCTTGGGGCAGGTGTTAGATGGCCCCTGTGCCCATGTGGGGGCTGTTGCACAGGATCAAGTGCTTGTTGGCTCAAATTCTGCTTTCTCTGGCACCTGGGTGGGGAGAGCATGGACCCCAGCTTCCTGGGGGCAGCTCCTCAGGGGACAAGTGCAGATCCCTGATCTCTAGGGGCAGCTCCTGGGATAGAGGGGGTTCCTGAGGCCCCCCCAGTGTGCTTGGGAGCTGGGGGACCTCTCCCCATCATGTGCCAGCCATGCCACCTCCTGCCCTGTGACAGGCAGAGTGTAAGCTGTGTGAGTGGGTGGTGGGATCCTGTCCTCTGGGCACAGTTGGGATGTCCCACCTGAGAGGAATGGCTTAGTGGTGCTGTGTCTCCTAGGAGCCAGGCGGCTGCCTCCCCTGTGGCCTCTAAGAGCAGATTCCTCATCCGGGCGGGCCTGCGGGGGTGGCAGGCGGGCCCCGCAGCCACAAGTTCAGGGTTAACTGGGATCTTGCCAAGAATCCTAGGATGGGGGCCAAATGCCGGATGGTGTGTCCCTGGGTGGCTGCCCCCAAGTGTTGGTAGAGAGTATGTTCCTGGGGTTGTTCCTACCCTGACCCTGGGAGGCTGTCAAGTTCATGCCCCTACGTTGGGCTGACGCAGCAGTGCCCATCCCCGCAGAGCAGTGAAGGGCTGTGAGGAGCTGAGCACCTGCTCTCTGCTTAGGTGGGTTGGGAGCAGGGCAGGATTGGTTTCCTGGGAGCCAGGCTGGCCTAGCCCCCTCCTTCCCTGCTCTTTCAGCTCTAGCCTCGCTGGGCTGAAGGCCTGTGGTGCCTTCAACCTGACCCCAGATTGGAGGATAGGCATAGGGGAGCAGGCCCTGGGAGAGGGGTTGGGGAGCAGAGTCCTCAGGCCACCTCAAGTCGGTGGATCATCTTGGGACGCTCATACTTGGCACCTGGGCCCAGGCCGAGTTGGTGGTGTGGGCAGGGGGCTTCCCTGAGCTGAGGTGTCTCCAAGAAGGTAGAACAGGATGGGGTGCTCCTGAGCCTGGCCCTCCTGGGGGTGACTCACAGGGCTGGGGTGTGGCAGGGAGGGGCCACCACCTTGCTCACCTGGGGGTGGCGTGTTGGGTAGTGAGGCAGGAATGAGACCCCTCTGGGGTCTCTGCCTTGGTCACCCAGAGAGGCTGCCCTTGTCTCGCTGGCCCCAGGGAGGGGCCCTGCAGCCTCTCTGCCTGTCAACTGCAGCTAGAAGGCCCTGGGTCTCCCTGGGAGTCAGTGCCTCTCTCTTTGGCCCCCTCAGCTCAGAGTCCTGGGAAGTTCTGCAGGGCTGGGGAAGATGGGGTGGAAGAAATGATCCTCTGTCCATTAGGGGGTCCCTGTCATCAGTGCACATGTGCTGGCCCTTGGGGAGGCATGGGAAAGGGGAGGTTTGCGGTGCTTCCCTGTGAGTGGGGTTACCAGGGGCTTCTTCCCTCTATGGCTGCTGCTTCTAGAGAGGGTGCCTGGGACAGACGGGGCAGGGGCTGTCCTGCAGCTGTATCCGGGCCGCCCCAAGCCTATTTCCTGCCAGGTGTGGATCCAGGCCCTGCCGGGCTCCAGCTCCCATTTCTATGTCAGGGCCAAGTCCTGGATGGAAAATCCCATCTGCTGGGCACCAACTCCAGGAGGGCAGGGCATTTGGCCTCCCCCAGGAGGCCATTGCATGGGTGTGTCTGGACCACAAATCCCACCCCTTGCCCTTGCCTGAACAGGGCTGGCCGCTGCCCTCACCCCTTCGAACCCTAATCCTTGGCCACCTGTTTCCAAATCCTGTGGGTCATCTGGCCTCCTTTCCATTATCTTCGCCCTGGCCCCCTGTGTTTTGTCTGAGCCTGTTTGCCTGCATTGAGGGGTGGGCATCTGGATGTGGGTTGGTGGGGTGGGCAGTGGAATATCTGTCCTCTCTCTGAGTGGGCCCAGCTGGCTGTGTTCCCAGCTACCCTTCCAGGCCTACAGAGCTGGGGAGACCATGGCTCCCTGTGAGTTGAGACTGGTGTAGAGTAGAGTCTGCCTCCACCTCCCTGGGAGACAGGCCAGGAGGGCAGCAGGCTGCCTATCCATATGTGTATGTGTATTGGTGCACATGCACATGTGCAGGTGTAGGTGCATACATGTGGCTATGAATATACATACACGTGCATGCATGTATGTGTGCTTATACATACATGTGTGTATGCATGCATATGCATATCTAGGAATGGAGATGTGTGTGCGTGCATGTGGGTCTGAATCCATGTGCTTGTGTATGTGTGTGCATGCACACAGATGGCTACATGCAGATAGAGAAGTTGTGGGAAGGAATGGTTTAAAGGTAGAGCCAAGTGATTGGTGGAAGGTGGGAACAGAGGGCAAGAGTGAATCCTGGATACCTGGGAGGGTGGAGTTACTGTCCCTGAGGTGAGAGGGCCGTGCAGCATGTCCAGGAGGAGCGTCCGGCTGTGGGCTCAGCCGTGGGCTCAGCTATAGCCAAGGAAGAGCCATTAGACCTCCCTGAAGAGGATGAGGCACAGGTCTGGTTTGAGTTGGGGCTCCAGGAGCAGAGTCTGGACACAGAAGCCAGGGCTGCACAGGGCTCCACAGGGGGTGTAGCTCCGCAGGGGGCATGGTTTTGTAGGGGGCATGGCTCCACAGGGGCCAGGGTGTGTGGTCAAGGCAGAGCCTGGGTCTGCATGAGATCAAATGGAGAGGTGAGGGCCAAGACAGGTGAGGGCCTGGCAGTGTCTGACTGGGGCTCTCTATCACTACTTCCATGACCTAGAGCCAAACCCAGGGCCCTGGGGGAGGTGAGTTTGAGCTGGCCAGGAGGGATCTGGGGACTGATCCTAGAGGGGACAGGAGCCCTGTGGTGGAGAGAGGCATGGTATGTTCTCCAAGAAGAGGGGGCCAGGGTGGTTCAGAGGGTGTGGAAGGTGCTGTGGGTTGTACCAGCCACAGCCATGTCCCTCCCCACCCCAGGGTGGTGAAGGAGGAGATCTCAGATGACAATGCCAGGCTGCCCTGCTTCAATGGCCGAGTGGTCTCCTGGGTGAGTCTTGGGGGGAGGATGAGGCCTAAGGGAAGGAGGCTGCCATTGTGCCCTGGAGTTCTGGCTGGGAGTGGTGTGGAGGTGGGAAGGAGGGGTGTAGTCTGGAATAGCGGGTGGTGTGGAGGTGGGAGGGGGTGGTCTAGGGACAGGTGGGGTGGTCTGGAATCAGGGAGATAGTCTCGAGGTGGGTGGGGGTGGTCTGGGGACCAGGGATGGTCTGGGGGCAAGTGGGGCATCTCTGAGTGCCCATTCTCCTTTTGTAGCTGGTCCTGGCCGAGGGTGCACACTCAGATGCAGGGTCTCAAGGCACAGACAGCCACACAGATGTGCCCCCACCTCTCGAGCGGACGGGGGGCATCGGGGACTCCCGGCCCCCTTCCTTCCAGTAAGGGTCCTGGTGGATGGGGGGTGTGCCCTGGTGCTCCTGAGGGGCCTCTGGCCTGTTGGGCCCACAAAGGGGGAGGCTTAGGGGTGGGCAGCAGGTGGTAGGAACTTCTGTAGAGGGGACAGCAAAGTACCCAAAGTGCGGGTGGTGTGGTGAGGGGCCCCAAAGTGAAGGGAGGCCGAGGGCTGGGATAGTGCTCCAGGTGTTGGTGCCAGGCAGTGAGCTCACATCTCTTGTCGGCACAGCCCGAATGTGGCCAGCAGCCGTGATGGGATGGACAACGAGACTGGTGCAGAGTCCATGGTCAGCCATAGGCGGGAGCGAGCCCGGCGCCGGAACCGTGAGGGCCGCGAGGACGGTAGCGTGGTTGCCGCCTGCCACCCCCAAGACTCTGAGCCTGGTGGCCTCACTCTGGTGTCCCCAACCTCCCTGTGGCCCCTTGTGGAGTCCCACTACTGTCCTAATCTCCTAGATCAGTGGCCCCTGAGGCCCCAGGTCAAGGCCCCAGGCCCAACTTCCCAGGAGCCCAACTTACCTCCCACAGCCTCTACGGCCTCCCAGCTCCCCAGAGAACAGGAGCTTAAGGTTCCCATGGCTCTGTGACCTCTGAGGACTTCCCAGTCAGCTTTTCCCTGCCACCTCCACAGCCTCCCGGACCAACGGGCACCCAAGGGTGGAGCGGCGGCGGGACCTGGGCCTGCCCCATGACAGTGCCTCCACTGCAATGAGCAGTGAGCTCGAGTCCAGCAGTTTCATTGACTCCGAGGAAGACACAAGCCGGTGCGTGGGCAGGCAGGGGCCTGGGCTACCCACAGGGGCTGGGGCTACCCACAGGGGCTGTTTCAACGTGTGGCCAGTGTGTGTGTGTGCATGGTGGGGTGCGTGTGGTTTTTTTTTGCGTGTGTGTTTGCATCCTTATGTATACCTGTATGCGTGCGCTTTATATACCTGTGATCAAGCGCGTATGTGTGGGTGTGGACTAAGTTCTGTGACTCCATGTTTATATAAGAACACAGGTCCACAGGGGATCTGTATATGCAAATGTATGTGTGTATGTTGGTGTGTTACGCTTTTGGCAGTGTGTGCACACGAGAAGCTGAGCCTTGTGAGCAAATCTGACCCAAGCCCTGCCCAGCCGAGCAGGGCCTGGTGCCCCCACACGCCTTCTGCAGCTTCCTTGTAGCCCCGCCCCCACACCCTTGCCCTTGTCCTCATTTGTCTGGGTGGGTGGATACACTGTTCCCTTCCCTGTTCCGGGTCCAGGCCTGATCCCCACATCCCCCTAGGCTGAGCAGCTCCACGGAGCAGAGCACTTCCTCGCGGCTGATCCGCAAACATAAGCGGCGGCGCCGACGACAGCGCATGCGGCAGACAGACCGGGTACGTGGGTGGGGTCGGGCGGCACATGGGTGGGGATTGGGGTTGGAGACTCCCTTCACCCTACCCCTGTCCTCCCCCAGGCCTCGTCCTTCAGCAGCATCACGGACTCAACGATGTCACTAAACATCATCACCGTCACCCTCAACATGGGTGAGGGCCTCTGGGGCGCTGCCTGCTTTTTCACTCAGTTGGACTCCCTGTCCCCTGCTGTCCTCACACCTCCCCCCCAACTCACCCTTTGCTCCCCCTCAGAGAGGCACCACTTCCTGGGCATCAGCATCGTGGGCCAGAGCAATGACCGTGGCGACGGTGGCATCTATATCGGCTCCATCATGAAGGGTGGGGCCGTAGCTGCTGATGGTCGCATAGAACCAGGAGACATGCTGCTGCAGGTGTGGAGCCCAGTATCCCCCCTACACCATTGCTGACTCATGACCCCTTGCCTGATGCCTTTCCACTTCCCATTGCCAGTATTGTTGACTTCTATCCCACCTTTGCTATTACTGGTCCCCAGCATCTGACTGCCATCACTGACCCTGAACCCCCACCAATCCCTAATCTCCCCTGCTGTCGTTGACTCCTGCCCTGCCCTCAGGTGAATGATGTCAACTTTGAGAACATGACCAATGATGACGCAGTCCGCGTGCTGCGGGAGATTGTGTCGCAGACGGGGTGAGTTCCACAGGGGTGGGGGATGGCAGGGGATATCTTGCAGCCTGTATGACACCCCACCTCCACCCTGCAGGCCCATCAGCCTCACGGTGGCAAAGTGCTGGGACCCGACTCCCCGGAGCTACTTCACCATCCCAAGGGGTGAGTGACCCCACAGGGTGGGCAGTGGGGGATGGGGCGGCACCTGGCCCAGCCTGAAGGGCTCTCTCCTCTGTGCCTTGTGTTCTGCCCCCCACCTTTTGCCTGTCATCTGTCATCTGCGGTGCCCAGCTGACCCGGTGCGGCCCATCGACCCGGCCGCCTGGCTGTCCCACACGGCGGCGCTGACGGGCGCCTTGCCCCGCTATGGTACGAGCCCTTGCTCCAGCGCCGTCACGCGCACCAGCTCCTCCTCACTAACGAGCTCTGTGCCCGGCGCTCCACGTAAGTGGCGGCTCGCGGCAGGCACTCACCTCACGGCGCCAGCACGCCAGACCTGCTCCAGTACTCCACGTGGGGGCCTCCCTCAACCAGGGCCCCAGCAGGAAACAAAGGCACCAGACCTCTCCTGGACCACCCCCTTGCCAGCTCTCTGGGGACTGGCCTGGCTGTGCACATTTGCTCCTCTAGGTTCCCACTAGGGCACCCATGTACACAGTGCTCCCACCTGCATCTGTCTTCTGTATCCTTCATAGACATCTTCACACCTCCATACCCTATGTGCCTCTACCTGCCTCTCTGTACCCTCACACATGCCCTGTAGTCCTGTGCACCCCCATGTACTCCTGCACCCCCTCATAACTCCATTCACCACCCTGTACCCCCTCATGCCTCTGTTCATCCCCTACACCCTCTCATATCTCCCTTTATCTTTTGTACCCCCCGATGTTTCTGTTCACCCCGTACAGTCCCTCATATCTCCATTTTCCACTCTGTGGAAAATGCTGGGCCAGCCCCTGGAGTTATTGTCTGGGGGTCAGCATGGTGGGAGCGGGAAGAGGTGGGTGCGTGGATGCAGCCCCCACTCTGCTTTTCGGCCACTAACAAGACTAACAACCCCATGGCTAGCGGGGGAGGGCGAGCGTGGGGGACATGTACCCTCCCCATAGGGCTTAGTTCTGAGAATGAGAAAGTGGCCTCACCTTGGTTTGGGTCCAAGAGTCCTATGAATGTGCCCAGAAGGGTGGGAAACACAGATCCAAACCCACCCCCCACCCCCCATGCCCAGTGTCTGACCCTGAGGGTCTCCTTTCAGGATTTCTTCCCCCTGAGGCAGGGCCACAGCCCCCCCAGCCCCCAAGAGGGGTACAAAGATGGCCCCCTGCCCCCAAGAGGGGTACAGCAATTGTCCTTCTCAGTCCCTAGGAGAAGTATGGCCACTGTTCTCCCCCATCCACAAGAGAGTATGGCCACCCCCTCTGCCCCAAGAGGCCTGTCCCCAAACCCCCTGCTGTGCCTTGCAGAGCTGGAGGAGGCACCACTGACAGTGAAGAGTGACATGGGTGCTGTTGTGCGGGTCATGCGGCTGCCAGACTCGGGGCTGGAGATCCGCGATCGCATGTGGCTCAAGATCACCATTGCCAATGCTGTCATCGGTGGGTGTGCAGGCAGCATGGGCGAGGCCGGGCTGGTGGGCGGGCTGGTGGGCGGGCTGGGGGCAGGCTGGCCCTGAGTGCTGCGGGGTACCACAGGCGCGGATGTGGTGGATTGGCTGTATGCGCATGTGGAGGGCTTCAAGGAGCGTCGTGAGGCGCGAAGGTATGCCAGCACCATGCTGAAGCACGGTTTCCTGCGGCACACAGTCAACAAGGTCACCTTCTCCGAGCAGTGCTACTATGTCTTCGGGGACCTGTGCAGTAGTGAGTGGGGCCAGGGGCCAGGGGGGCTGGGGCCTGCCTACCACCCACCCCACACGCTTACCACCCTTCTCCCTGCCAGACCTCGCGGCCCTGAACCTCAACAACGGCTCCAGTGGGGCCTCAGATCAGGACACCCTGGCCCCGCTGCCCCACCCAGCTGCCCCTTGGCCCCTGGGCCAGGCCTTCCCCTATCAGTACCCGGGGCCCCCGCCCTGCTTCCCACCTGCCTACCAGGACCCCGGCTTCAGCTATGGCAGTGGCAGCGCTGGTAGTCAGCAAAGTGAAGGTGAGACCCCCGCCTGGGCTCCCTGGCCCCTCAATACCCCCTCACTGCCCCTACCACCTGGCTCTGCCCCTGCCTGCCCCCGCTGCCCTCCAATTCTTGCAGCTCTGTGCTTGGGCCATGGGCGGGGTCTTCCTAGAAGGGCTTAGGGGAGCCTGGGTCACTGTGGTTGTAGTCAACATGTAAGGGGAGGGTCAGGAAGAGTCTGAGGCAGAGACAGCCAGCCTCCTCCTCGGTCTGGCTGGAGGGAAGGGCCGGAGGGACCTGAAGGTACAGGAGTGTAGGGCTGGCAGTCTAGGTGTGGAAGCCGGCAGACAGCTGTGGGGGATAGTAGTGTGGGGGGCTCAGGAGCCACACGGGTGAGGGAGTGTGAGGGTGGCATAAAGCATCAAGTAGGAGCCAGGGTTGGGAGACAGTCCCTCTCTAGCCACTGTCTGAGCAAGGTCAAGGACATAGCAGTGAAAACACCACCCCGCCTATGGCTTGTGCAAGTTAGCAGTAGGGGGTGGGGTGAGGGGTGTCATGGCCATGCTATTGGCTAGGGAGTCAGGAAGCCAGGAAGTGGGTGGGGGCAGAGTCGTGGGGGCAGAGGCCTGAGGCTGAAGGGGGTGCCAGGGTAGTGGGGTGGGGTGGGAGGACCTAGCTGACCAGGAAGAATGGCCAAAGATGCTATCAAGGGGCTGTGTGAGGATCCTCTGGGATTGCAAGTGTATGCAGACTTGGGGTAGGTCAGTGGGCTGTGCCCAGCAGTGAGGTGCCCGGGGCTGCCCCGGTGTGTAACTCGTGCTATCCCTTGTTTTGTGCTGAGCAAGCGTTAGACTGAAGCTCTAGAGGAGAGGACCCTCAGGGCCGGTAAGCCAGGGGCCCACCCGGCGTCCCTCTCAGTGTCCCTGTTGACATCACCCCAGCCGGCCCATGCCCTCAGGGTCCCTCCCCCTGGGAGCCTGGGATGGGGTACTGAGCAAGGCGGGGCATAGCTGGCCAGGACCCCAGGGGGTGGACAGCTGCTGGGTTCACTGGGGCCTTGACTGTGCCTCAGTTTCTCAGCTGCAAGACTGAGCACTCGGGTGGGGCTGGAGTTAGGTATGGGGTGCTATGTGGCCCCTAGAGTATTCCTGCTGCCCATGCTGCTCCCACCCCTGCTGAGCCGCTCTCCTGCCTCCCTGGGTGGGGCCTGCCCTGTGCCTCTGCATGGCTGGGACCCCTCCCTGTGACCATCCTGCCTGGATCCCGTGGCCTTGCTGGATGTGCTGGGCCTGGCCCTGACTGGTTATTTTCCCTTCCCTCCATCTCCAGGAAGCAAGAGCAGCGGGTCCACCAGGAGCGCCGGTGGGAGCAGCCGGCGGGCCCTGGGGCGTGAGCAGGAGCGTCGGGCAGCCGGTGCAGGGGGCAGTGGCAGTGAGCTAGACCCCACAGTGCCAAGTGGGGCAGGTGGCTGGCGGGAGCGCCCGGCCAGCCAGCTCAGCCATGGCAGCAGCCCTCGAAGCCAGGCTTCAGCCACTGCACCCGGGCTGCCTCCCCTGTGCCCCCTGGGCAAGGCGTACACGGCAGTAGGCGGGCCCCCTGGGGGGCCACCTGTGCGGGAGTTGGCCTCAGTGCCTCCTGAGCTCACAGGCAGCCGCCAGTCCTTCCAAAAGGCCATGGGGAACCCCTGTGAGTTCTTTGTTGACATCATGTGACCGACGGAGAAAGTGCCTTCAGCCCTGGTGCAAGGGGGGACGGTCCTATCCCCTGCATGGATTGTCAACTGGCCCACCCCACCAGGGTGGGCCACCTGCCCAGGGCTGTGTGTGTGGGCTTGCCTTAGTTATGGCCAGACCTGAGATGGCTACCTGTGCTTCCAGTGTATGAGACAGGAGGTGGTCAGGCCTGGACAGGGGTGGGAGTAGGCATGGTGGGGGCATCATGATCTGGACTCAGTATCCTGTCCGCTCCCAGGTCTTCCTCTAGCAGAGGTGCAGCTCAAGTTCACAAAGACTTTAACCAGAGCTGGGAGGCCACCTGACCTCAGGCAGGTCTGACCTGCCCACCTTGGCATGACCCTTCCACTGACCCTTGTTTGTCTGGAGGTGCTGCCCCCCCCCCCGCCCAGTTGTAGAAGACCCTCTTGGTCCCCATGATGATCCTTACCTGCCCAGAGGCAGCACAGGCCCCTACTTCCTCTGCTCACCTGGCCCAGGCTGAGGGGCCTCTTGCAGGTGGGAATCAGAACCTGTCTGTGGCTGCCCAGGGCAAGGATCTAATTTATTTATTTATTACCTGTCCCTGCAATCCAGGGAGTTGATCGTGATCAGCTCCCACCCCCGACGGTAGGAACAGGTTTGCATGTTCTGCCTGCCCTGCCCTTGGCACACAGGTGGTGTCTGAAAGTGTGTGGAGGAGAGAGGAAGGGCCAGCTCAGTGTGATAGTGGGGGTGGGGAGGGCATATGGCTGGGCCAGGATAGAGGGGGGACGTGACCCTGAAGGGCAGGGGCTGGGGAAGCGGAGTGGTCCCCAGGTCTCCCTCCTGCGCCCTGGCCTGCACAGGCCATGCTGTAGATACTGTATCAAAGTCCGAGAGTCTGGATAGTTAATATATAGCTGCTCCGTGTAAATGCTGCTTCCATGTAATTGTAAATGCTATTTTAAACACTAAAAAGCGTTTAATTTTATGGGATTGATGTGTGGCCGTGTTCAACTTTCTTGCAGCTGCTGTAGGAGGTGGGGTGCAGGGCACCAGTCAGCGTCCCCAGGGCCCATGAGAGCTGACCCTCCAGGCTGAGATGGACACATGCCTGCCAGGCTCTGTCCCAGGTGCTGGCCGCCTCCAGGGTCCTGGAAGGCGGCTGTCAATGATGCTAGCTCCTGGCTCCAGGGGTCTAGGAGGCTAGCGCTGGCCACGGTGCTGACCCCCCACTGTCCGGGCTCTGTCCACGGTGCTGGTGGCTGCCTTTCCCCTATTCCAGCCACTTGGGAGCCAGGAAGCAGAGGAAGCTGGCCTCTCCTCTGAGTGGTGTTTGCACTGAGACCCTGATTGGTGGCAGGCCTTTGGAGGGGCTGCACCAGGCCAGCAGCCCTTTTCACCAGCTTCCTACTCCTGAGGAGCTCACAATCGCTGGGTGTGCTCCAGGCTGGGCACTGCCAGGGAGATGCTCAGTTGTGGCCTGAGATGGCCCAGCCAGGGGCTTTCCCAGTGTGGGCTGCCCCCAGAGCTGCAATCCTGTGAGGGATATGTGGGCCTTCCTAGAAAGTAGGGCTGGGTCACTCAGCAGAGATAGGGACAGAGCCTGACTCAAGGGTACCTAGCCCCCTTGTGCAAAATGCAGGCCCAAGGTCACGGACAGCTCTTAACCTGGGGGTTAGAACCTAGGGTTGAGGGATCTCAGAGCACAGGCTGGGGGTTGTGTGTGGGGGACTCTTGGTTTGAGGATCTCTATTGGGTTGGACTCACTGTGGGTGATCTCCTGGGGCCTGGGGTCACTGATTCCTGGTTTTCCCGAGTTTCCCCCACAGCCCCAGGCCCCTCCCCCAGGAAGAACTCAGGGGTATTGAGTGCTGGTTGCCACAGCAGCAAGTAGCACTTGGGCAGGTGGACAGCAGCCAGGATGCCCAGGGCACAGATGAGGATGGCACCCATCTGCACAGCGGGTTGGTAGGCTATATGCACGTTGGTGAAGAGAGGCACGAAGGAGATCCAGGTAATGAAGTAGGCCAGTGTGGCAAAGGTGATGCCACGTGCACGGTTGTAGCGGTTGGGCCGGCTCTGCACCAGGAAGGTGCCCAGGAAGCATAGGAAGGCCAGTGTGGCATTGGTGGCATGCACCAGGCCAAAGCTGACCCAGGAGCGCACACGGCAGTGCACCAGCACCTCCTGGGGCAGTGTCTGCCAGTTGGTCACCACCTCAGGTGGGAAGACCACCAGGTACCAGGTGCACAGTCCTGCCTCTGCCGAAATGGCCAGCAGCACCACCAGCCATGCTCCTGGGCCCCGAAGCAAGCCCTGCAGCCACCCTGTCCAGCCCCGCGGCAGCTCTGACTCCACAAATGTCTCAGCTGCCTGCAGAAAGAGTGTGCTCAGACAGCCAGTCAATGGCAGGTGGGACAGCGGCTGCTGTGCAAGACAGCTAGCAGGGCTGGGCCACCCAGGGAACAAGAGTACGCTGAGACAGACCAGGCCCAGGCAGGCGAGTCCAAAGCAGGCCAGTGGCCCTCCTGAGGCCCGCACCATTGGGCTGTCCCTATGGTGGATGAAGAGCCCCAGCGCCGCCAGTGCCAGGCCCAGCACCAGGCCCAGAAGCACGAGCAGCCCCAGTGTGATGGGTTCCCCCCATGCTAGGAACTTGGGCTTGCGGGGGAAGCAGCGTGTGCTCCGGTCTGGGGACCACTCTTCAAGGCCACACGGGGTGCAGAAGAGGTCATCTGCAGGGCGGAGAGGGGAGAGGGGTGCTGGGGCAGCAGGCATGGCTTCACCCCTCCCCAGGCTGGAGTGATACTGAGGAGCCAGGACATGCTGGAACCCCCTAGGCTATGTGCCCATCTTGCCTCCAGCCATGTGGTGGCCTGGCTCACCTGGCTTGTGCCTGCCTACCTCACCCCACCCCCAGCCATGTGGAGGCCCGGCTTACCTGGGTTGTGCCTGTAGGTGCCAGCCCTACAGTCTATGCAGTCGTAGCAGCAGGAGTGGGAGCCCTTCACACGGCGCACCTGACCCTTCCTGCACTGCCGTGAGCACTGGGACACCGGCTCCTGGGGTGGCACAGCCTCAGTCCACCCACTGCTGACCCACCCCTCTCCAGCTGCCTGACAGGAGGTGTGCCTTCCCATTGCCCAGCAGGTAGGAAGTATGCCCCCCAGCGGGCCCACCAGGTGGGAGGTGTGAGCAGGGGCACAGACCTGAGTGTCCACTGGGTTATACTCCCATGGCAGTGGGGGTGCTGTGCCTGGGTGGTTTGAGACTTCATAAAGGGGACATGTGCCCGACTTAACCTGGTTGCCTGTTGTATGCCACACGATCTTGGAGGGGTAGAGCTGGAGCTGGCCGTTGAAGGTGCCCACAGTGCGAAACTCAAGCTCCTGGCCCCGCCACACCCACAGCTTCAGGTCATACTCCATATCCACGTTCCCGTTGGCATCGAAGGCCAGCACCAGGTCCCGGGCCTGGAAGCTCATGTTGTACATCCTGTCCAGGAGCTGGATGGGGGCAGGGAGATGGGGGGTGGAGCCCAGAGCCACCTGTCTGCCCATAGCCCCCAGGGTCAACACTGCTCCTTGTGGCTCTGTGTGCAGATGGGGACAGGTGGTGCCTGTGGCCGTACCCTCACCTGCCAGGGCCGCACAGGCTCATGTGCAGGGCAACCCAAGGCGTTACAGTGAAGCGTGTTGTGGAGTGCCTGGGCTACACCATACACGGCTGCGTAGGCAGCAAAGGTCTGGTGGTGCAGCAGCCCAGTTGACAGGTTCATCATCGTAATGTGATTGCACTGTGGGCAGCGTGGCCCTACCACGTGTTCTTCAAGGCCTGGCTGTGCAGCATCCAGTGAGGTGCAGAAGGCTGGGTCGGCAGCCAGGGCCAGGCGGGTGGCCACGTAGCCTGGGAACTCAGGCAGCTGGGCACCACGCATCAGGAAGCCAAGCACAGTGCCCATCTGTGCCATGCCAGGCAGCATGGAGATCAGGTTCGAGGACAGCCAGGCCTCGCTGGCCACCCATACCTTGGGTTCAAGCTGGCTGTGGATACTATAGCCAAAGAAGGTGTGGGCGGCTCGGGCAGAGGCAAAGAGCACCACCACCTGCACGCTGCTCTGGTTCACTACCTGCAATACTTTCTGCACCTGGCTGGGCAGCATGCTCTGTCTGTGGGGCAGCGGCACCAAGCCCTCATGGGCAATGCAGATGCCGCGGGCGCTGGCCAGGCTCGAGAAGATGCTCAGGCCCTGACGGCCATACTCATCATCACTGCCCACAGCCGCCACCCAGTTCCAGCCAAAAGCCAACAGCAACTCCACCATGGCCGCCAGCTGCACACGGTCGCTGGGCACCGTGCGAAAGAAGGATGGGAACATCTCCCGGTTACTCAGCCGGTCCGTGCTGGCACCGTAGCTGACCTGCAGGCCGAGGGCCTCCATCAGGGTATGCTACTAGGGGTGGGACGGGGTGGACAGGCCAGGTAATGGGCATACCTGGGGCATGAGGAAGAAGCTGAAGAACTTGCCAGTGATGAGGGCAAGCTCAGAGGAGTAGGGCCCAATGACAGCCAGCACGCGTGGCTGGTACTGCGTGTAGTTGCAGTAGGCGGCGATGTCACGACTGCCTGCCTTGGCCAGGAACACCAGGCTGGGCTTCATGGCTACCAGGGGCTCTGCACACGTGTCGAACAGGTCATAGCCCAGACGCAGCCCCGGAAGCAGGTCTGGCCTGTTGTTGATTTCTTCCACTGCCATTTTCACAGCCAGCGCCCAGAGCAGGCCGAGGGCCGAGAACCTGGGACACGTGGGGCTGAGGGCACTGTGGGGCTGAGGGCACTGGACCAGGAATACCCCAACCAGCTGCCTGGGCCAGTCTCAGACCCTAGCCTGGTCCCTATCCCACCCCAAGGCCAGCCCTGGACCCAAGCCCCATACCTTTTGCAAGTGGTGCTCTCTGGGTAAGTCCTGTCCCCAAGGCCAGTGCCCTCAGCTGAGGTCATAGGGAATAGCCCGCCCAGTATATAGTCACCTTGCATTCTGAGCTGCCTCGACAGGCACAGAGGGGCCCCCACTGTGAGGCCCAGGAGAGCCATGAGGCCAAGGCCCAAGGGAATCAGGCCGGGCATATCGCAGGCAGCCTCCAGCAGGGATGGTGATGATGTACCCTGTGGAGACCAGATATAGGGAGTCCAGGGAGGGGGCAGCGGATTTGTTTAGCAAAATTCTTGCTGTCCTCATCTGCAAAGCCCCTGGGGGCCCTGAGATGGGTGGGGACAGGCATTTTCATAATGACCTGGCTGACTCTGCTGCAGGTTTGTACATATGACAGGGCTTTATTCTGATGCCACTGACACTGGGTGACCCAGGGCAGGTAGGCTGAGCATCAACTGTCACATCCCCAGTCCTGTAAACACCACAGCAGACCACAAGGGGGCCTGTGAAGAGGATGAGCAAAGGGGTGGCTCAGACAGGGCTCTAGGGTCTCCACTTGGGGGATGGGCTCAGAGATATAGGGGGGTGGGGTGGGCTTCTCTCCAGCCCAGCAGGAAGCCATGCCCTCACCCATCAGGGAGCTGCAGGGGGGTAGCCTCATCTGGACATTGAGCACATGGTCCTTCCAGACTCAGGGCAGCCAGAGCAGCAGGTGGCTGGGGGATAAGTTGCTTGGGCGTGGCACGCCTGTGAGGGCAGGTGCCAGCTGACCAGGTTACGGGCCTGTTATGGGCCAGAGCTCACAGCTGGGCCTGAGGGATCCATGCAAACAACAAGGGAAAAGCCCAAACAAATGGGCCTACACAGCTGTCTGCACAGAGGCGCGGGCAGTGGGGGCTACACAGGATACACGTGTACTTGTGTATGCATGTGTGCACATACCCTAGCAAGGCAGGGCCACTGTGGGCATGCCGGACAGATCCTTTGAGCTTCTGGACAACCCCTTTCCCTGCCTGGGTCTGGGGTGCTCTACCTCACACAACACACTGGAGCTTGTGGTGGATATGCACTGAGCCCAGGGCACAAGAGCTTGTAGGGGCAGATGGCAGTGTTCTTAGCAGTGTCTGATGAAATAACCCTACTGGAGTTGACAGGGGATCTAAGTGGTCTTAATGCTGACCAGCTCCAATAGATGTTGGTGGGGGCTGATCTAGGCACCTCCTCTCTACCCTGCCCTGTGAGGGAGGATCCCACTGCGTGTGCACATGTATAACTTCACACAGGCACATGTGTATGTACAACCATGCCTCTACAAAAGTAACTGTGCACTTACACGTATGACTATCTGCATGTACGTATGACTGTGTACATACATATCTGACAATGTATACACACACGTGCACACACGTGCTTTTTCTGGGTGGTGGAGCACCCATCCTGGGCCTTTCCAGGGCCACCCACCACCAGGCCCCTTTCACGCCCCTCCTGGTGTGGCCCTAGGCTCCACCCCATTTGGTAAGTAGATGGCTGGAGCACCCAACATTCCCATCTGCAGAAGTCCAGTAAATATGATTTATTCATAATAGAATGCCCACCATGCATTACAATTTCCCAGTCAAGTCCACCCAAAATCTTCACCGGTACATGTATGCTCTGTGTGCAGTCCCTGAGGCCCCACATCCTGGGAGTAGAGCTGGTAGGAGAGGCTGTCTGCTTACCTGGCCTAAGGACAACGGTCCCAGGACCCTCCCTGGGCCAGGCCCAGGCTGGAGCACCATGCTGGGGGCAGCAAAAGGCAGGGGAGGGGACTCAGTATTTTGAGAAGTTGGGGCAAGAGACACCTTGGCCCAGCAGCACGTGGCTCCTGGGGGGGGCCCTCAGGGCTGTGCAGACCACAGGTGGCTGCCAGGGGAGGCACTTGCTGTCCTCAGAAGCTAGATCTGCAGGGAGCATGGAAGGTGGTTTAGCATGAGCTGTCACCATGGGCCCTGGGTCTGCTCAGCATCTGGAGAGGCCAACCAGGTGGTGGCAATGGAGAGCAGCCCATGGTGCTCAGACTGCAGCCCAGAGGTCCCCTCCTTGGCCTGGCAATCGGCAGCCCAGGTCTCACACCTGGGCAGGCACAGGGGCCACTCAGCAGCATGCACAGTGGCCTGAGGCAGGCGTAGGAAGGACACATACAGCTGGGGCACCAGGGAAGAGGTCTTCAAGTTCTCATGACTATGACTACCACTTCACAGACACCAGCAGGTGGGGTACTGCTAGGCTGCAGTGGTGAGCACTCACCACCCTGATCCCCTACCACTGTTCTGCTCCCAGCATCTCTGTAAGCCGGGTGGAACAGACATCTGCTGAGATGCCCAGGGAACATGGGATGGCCACACCCTGACCAGGATGGTGTGGGAGCAGATGGCCTATGCCTGCTTCTCTGTCAGGCTGCCCCTGCACGAAGGAGGACACAGCTGAGAGGATCTTGCACAACCCTGCCTGCTATACTAGGGCAAGTCCAGCAGCATGTGCTCTGCATAGAGCTTCTGGGTGATGTCGTAAACGCGCTCAAGGAAGGGCAGCGCCTCGCTCAGCATCACTACGGCCTGTTCGGGCGGCCCCACCTTCATGGCCTCCAGGAAGACCTTGCGCGTGGGCAGGGCACAGAAAGCCACGGTGACAGCCTGGCGCACGACCCAGGGGTGGTGGGTGGCCAGTGAGGCATTGTAGGAGTCAGTGCAGAGCGTGGAGGTGCGGGCGTCCTCGGGGCTGGCACGCAGCCCCTCCAAGAAGAGCTGTAGCCAGTGCAGGGCACGGTGCAGCCGCAGTACAGTGCGACAACCCGAGTCTGGGTGGTGTGCACGCCGCTGCAGGTCTACAAGCTGGTGGCTTACTTCATAGGTCACCATGGACTGCAGGCTGACATAGTGTTCACCCTGTGGGCTGCTGCGCAGCTGTTCCATAATCTGTAGCTTTGCTACCACATCCTTGGAGATGAACGTGAAGATGGTGCCCAGGCTGTTCAGAAACCTGCTCAAGGGAAAGGCAGAGCTCAGTGTGAGTCTCCCAGGGCCCCATGCCCACCAGGGGGCAGGGTCGGGCAGGGTCTGCAGCTCCTCTCTTCCGTCAAGGCTATGAGGGCTGGAGCCCTGTCCTGGGCCCCTCCTCCCAAAGGCATGGGGCCCAGGCATATCCCTCAAAGGAAAGCAGGTGCGGCCAACCTTATTGCCAGTGCCTGGCTCTGTCCCCAGTGGGTAGGCAAGAATGCAGGGATCAGAGACGGGGACCTTTGGCCAGGAAAGTCCCGCCCCATGCCAGTCCCTTGCCATCTCTGGGGCTGCGGCCAGCCAACAGGGCGCCCCGTGCAGGCACATACTTCACCAGCCCCCGCCAGCCACTGAGGTAGTGGTCCATCAGGATCTCCTCTTTCTCATTGAGGCACTGCTTGAAACTGACCATGACAACTTTCAAGTTGAAGTCTGTCTCTGAATCATCCATTTTCAACAGGAACTGAAACACATGAATGTCGCTCTAAGTCAGCTAGTTCTGAAGTGAGTTTTTCCCCCGAGTGGGAAAAGGGTGGGAGGAGAAGGAAATAACTAGGATCACGAACTCCCTGCTCAGAGCCCTACAATGGTGCATCACCTCCTAGAATAGAATTCTTCCTGAGGTTGGCATATCTGGAAAGACATGCCATGCCACCTGCCCCTGCCCCTGTCCATGCTTTGAGGCCTTTGCCCTGCTGCACTCTTGCCTGGAACCTTCATCCACAGATCTCCATCCAGGTCTCGGCAAGGCTGTCCCTGATCACCTGCTGGTGTAGCAGACCCTCCCTGGCTTCCACAGATCCCCTGCTATGTTTCCCTGTGGTCTGCACCCTAGCCACTATCTTACTTGTGGGCTTATTTGCCATCTTTCTCTCACTATAGTGTGTGTCTGTTTTTACTGCTGGAGGAACACTTACTGAGCCACTACCAAGGTCCAGCACTGTTCTAGGCCATTGAGACTCATTGTGAACAGGTGAGCCCTGCCCTATCAAGGTGATGTTCTAATGGGAAGAATGGATAACAAGCAGTAAACACAGCAAAGTCTGATGCAGTGGGTGAAGTGATGAACCTCATGGAAGGAGGAGCAGGGGTGCAAGGCAGGAGGCAGGCAGGAACAACTGGGCAGCCTCCCTCCTTCCTCCATCACCTCAGGACCAGAGCAGTGGCTGTGGAACCATGTCTGCTGGACAGACAGATAGACACCCATCTTTTCACTCTTGTGATGAAATTCTACTTGTTCCTGCAGGAGGGCTACAGGGCCAAAGAGCTTACCATATTCTCAAGACAGGCCCTTCCTCCAGCCCCAGGGAACCTGCCAGAAGTGTCCAAAGGCCAGAGGCTGCGAAGAAGGCACTGCTCTAGACCTGGACATGCTCATATGTTGCTCCACAACACTTGAGTGCCCACACAAGAACGGGTGCCAGTGGGCACTTCAGCCCTTCCCTCCCTGGGTGCACTGTCTCAAGGGCCTCAGCCTGACATCTGAGGCCAACCTGCAATGGAGCCTGGAAACTCAGCCACATGTTACCTTGTGTCCAAGACAAACTTGTGCCTGGGGGTTCCTGTGTTCCTCAGTGCTTGGAGCCTTGACCTGGCCTCCCCACCATGGGGTGCCCAACATGGAGAAGACTAGCTGTGTTGAGAGTCCCAGCCACAAGGACACCTGGTTTCCTGTTCTGCTTCTCACTCAGTGACTAGGTCATCAACCATCCTACAACCCTTCACTGGGGAAAAAGGGGTCAGCATGCCCTGTCCTGTCCACTGCCCAGCTGCTGGGGGAAGCAGTAGGTGCTGACGTCCTGCAGGCCTCACAGGTTTGGCCACATGCCTGGCTCTGGGTGGAGCCCTAACCAGTGAGTTCGCTGTGTCTAAAGGTGTGGAGTCCTTAAAGGTGAACTCGCTGTGGTTTCAAGTATGGGGGAAAGTAGAGCCTGGGTTCAGGAAGATGGTGCCCTGAGACTTTAGGCAGTGTCCCCTCAGGGCCTCAGTTCTCTGTTCACTGAAGAGATGGGCTCTGAGTTTCCAGCGCTCCTTCCTGACCACCAGACATCCTGCCGCTGGGCCTTCCTGCTCAGGATCTGAGCCAGTAGCCTGCAAAGAGCTGCCAATGAGCCTTTCAGAGCTGTCAGTCTGTGACAGGAAAAGTGGGCAGTCTCCCAACTCAGGCAAGGTGATTGCAGGAGCCCTATCTAGACTCCCCAGGGGGCAGCTGCAACCCCAAGGTCAGGGCTGGGAGGGAGGGCAGCCTGGGTACAGGAATTCTGTGACTGACAGCAGGCTGGAGTCCTGGCAGCAGAGTGGGTGACCTGGCGCCCAGGCCTATCTATGGGTGGGAGTTGGGTCCACCCAGCAGTTTGGGTCCCTGTCTGGGAGTCTCACCCCTGAAGGAAGCTGCAGAGGCAGCTGGGATCTGCGATTCGGGAGAGGGTGCGGTCGGGCCCTGGGCGGATCCTGTTCCAGCTGAGGGCACCAGGATGAAGCTTGGGGATCTGGTGGGGGGCCGTCTTGGAAGCTAGGGCTCAGACGCCCGCCCCGACGCAGCTCTCTGTGAAGGTGCCCCCTCCCCGCTTCCGCGCCCGGGGTCCCAACAAGCTACCCTTCGAACCCGCGTCCCGCTCCTCCAAGACGCTAGACTCGTCTCGATCGTCTCGGTTGGGTTCGGCCCGGCCCGCAGAGCCCGGCCGGACCCGCTCACCTCCACCGCCGCCGCAGCTGTCTCAAACTCCCTTGCCCGCCGCGTCCGCCCCGCTCACCTCCAAGCCGCCGTCGCCACGCCACGATTTGTTGCGAGCTGTCCAATCAGGAGGCCTTACGCGTCTGTGTTTCCGGCGAGCGGACCAGAAGTCGGCGTTGTTTCGTGTGCGCCCGCGCCGTGTGTTGCTGCGCGTCGGGCTCCTGCAGAGCCGGCGGTCCCGGCGGTCTGGAGTTTCTGTGTAAGGGTGGTGGAATCTCTTTGAAACGGGGCGGAGAAACAGAGCTCGCGCTTCTCCCGGGGCACTGGGGCCCCCGCAGCCCTCGGCCATTTATTTTCTTCTGTTCCTTCCCGGCTGAAGCCCCCGCGGGATCCCGAGGACGCGGCCGGGGCTCTGGTACGGCGTATCGGCCCTGCCCGGCCCTGCACGTTCCTCGTGCCTGGGAGTTCGCCCAGTGAAGATGCCAGAAATCAGAGTTACCCCTCTGGGTAAGCTCGAACCCGCCGTCAAGAGAGGCTGGCGGAGTTTAGGACTCGAATGGGTGATAACGACCTTTTGGTGGGACTGCCAGTCACCCCAGGAACCCTTCAGTGTTTGCACTCTTTATCTTTACAACCTTGGGTGTTAAGGACTCTTATACCTATTTGGGGGACTCTGTAGCTGGCTCACAGAAAGGCTCGGTGACTTAAAGGAGGTTTGAACCCGGGCAGTGTTCTCTTCCCCTTGTGGAACTGCCTGCATGTGGGTCCTGGTTTCAAGAACCTTTCCCGGATGCAGCCTCCTTGGACTCTTAAGAGCTGTGCTGTGAGGAGTTGAGACTGCATGACGTTTCCTCTATTTTGGTGAGGACAGTGAGGTCTGGATCTGTCCCTAGCCTCAGGTTGCTCTGCCAGCCTGTGGACAGAGGTACTGCCCTCTCCTCTATCTCCTCCTCCTGGTGCAGGCCCTGTGGAGAGTAGTTAAGATGAGGGCTTTGGGATTGGAGCCTAGTCTGCTAGTAGCTGTGTGATACCAAGTCTTCATCTTTCTTTACCTGTTCCGACTATGAAGAGGGTGTGAGCATACTTAATCTGGGGAGGCTCTGAGGTAAAAGTGCTCTCCCTTACATTTGGCACAAAGTCGGTCTTCAGCAGTTGTTGCACTGTCCCTGGGTGGTAGTGTGGGAGACCACTCAGAATGTCCCTCACACCCATGACCTTGTTTCCTCTGTCAAAATGTTTGCCTCTTTTGCACGTTGACCAATCTTTCGAGTCTCCTTTGTCCCCACTTTTCCTTCCTCACCTCTTGCTTGGCTGTCCACCCTCTTATTCTGACAACTCATACCAGGGTTACCTGCAGCCCCTACTTTACCCAATACAATAGTCAGCCCTTAGTTCAGCCCAACATTAAAAAATAGCTTTATTTTTTGTAAGAAGTACACATGTATGTTTAAAAAGTTGTAATAGCCAGCCCTGGACGTGCAAATGGTTAATGCTCTTGGCTTCTAAATACAAGGTCAGAGGTTCGATTCTACCAAGAGGTGCCTTGGAAGAAAGGCCCGGTGATCTAATTTTTTAAAAAAATCAGCCATTGACAGCCCTATGGAGCACAGTTCTGCTTTGATTTACATGGGGTCAGCATGAGTCAGAATTGATGCTCTGGCAGCTGGTTTAACAGTGCTGAGGAAAAAAGACTCACTCCAACCTAAGGTCCCAGAAGTAGCTGGGGCTACCCTGTGGATTCCCTGGGCTCTCTATGTGCCCAGTGCCATTCTAGAACCTGCCTCTTTCCCTGGGTGGTCTGTTCCCATGGCCATGAGCATCTCTTCAGTGAGCCACCCCTCAACTCACCCCTACCTCTGCCCCTAGTACAGATGCTGAGCTTAGCTCCAAGGCTTCTCAGCTCTGCAGGTCTTGACAGAGTCAAAGGAAATGTCCCACCCTTGACCACCAGAGCAGAGTGCATACCCCACCCCACCCCTCCATAGCGGTGCCACCTCCACAGCCTTTTTGGCAGATGTGGCGTGGGGTCCCCTCAGCCACTGCAGGCCCATGCCTCCCCTGTTGCTCTCTAGAGGCTTCCCTGGGTTCCTCCTTTCCTGCCCCTCTCCCACTTGGCCCCTTTCCCCATGCCTGCTCTGCCTGACGGTCCTTTTTCATGGCTTCAGTTGCCCCACATCTGCACCTGGGTTGCCCCCAAGATTGGCCCAGCATCATCAAAACAAACCCCTCCTGCTCATCCATTTTCCCTTTGCCAGTTACAGCTGGTCCCCCATCCCCTAAAGTTGTGTTTTTGGGAGGACATCCTTGTGGTGCTGCAGTGTCTGCACCCCCACCATCCCTGTGCCATCTCCACTCTGCCATTAGCGGCTGTCACCGTCTGATGCCCAGAACGTGGTTCTTGTTTATGAGTTCATCGTCCCTTGTTGACTTGGAATGCATGCTCCATGTGGACAGGGCTTTCCGTTTTCTTTGTTCCTTCCTAACTAAGTCTTGCCCTTCTGTGTGCCCTGTATTCTGCTCCCCACTTTTCTCTATGATTTTTATGGGTCCTGTAGGGAAGCAGGATGGGCAGGCCCTAAGAGATGGCTGTTGGGTCAGAAAACAGCCCTGACTCATCAAGTCCATGTGCCCTGGGTGGATCTTGAAACTGCTCGAGTCCTTACTTCCTGGTCTGTGAATGGTGGCCCTCCCCTCCACAGTCATTTGTCAGTGGGCTCCGTGAGCCAGGCACAGCTCAGGGCTATAGATGCCACTGGTAGGAGACAGACTGGCCTGGC